GAAAAAAAAAGACCAGTCGATAAAGAGCACAAAGCAAAAGTGACAGAGAGTTTTCTTCCAAAGCCAAGAAACACACGTTAGAGATAGAAGACTAAGGGGCTAGCTTATATAGTTTAGGTTAGATCAAAGTTGTGTAGCCAAGTCCAATACGAATATTGGTAAGTGGGCTAACAAAATAAGCCGTCCAATGAGTGTAAAAGTCGGGCCATGAGCAACACTAATTAATTAGGTTGCTTCCAATGGTCTAAATAATTTTAGGGCCGGGTCCTCAATCTTGGGTGTCGATAATTAATTTATCCAACATCGATTTAATATCATCGCCTAGGATTATTGGGTATCAAAAAACCCAACAGTTAAAAGTTGCTAAAATTCGAAGTCAAAATCAATAATTAACTTTAATCATATATTTAATGAGAATCACAACTCTTTAACCATACATTTCATTATCTATTTTCAAAATTTACTAAAATTTAATTTTAATCTACACCAAACAGTAGCTAAAGCTCATTCTGTGTCCTAAAATGGATGATGACACATGACTATGAATAAAATTGACCCCAAATATTACATTCTTTGAGGCAAAGAATTGACTTTTTGTAATGTTTTATTCACTTTCACTTCGAAGATGGCAAAATTTCCCATCCCTAATTCGTCCTACATTGTCTTGACCCAAATAGTAAACAAGGCAGAAATGGACCCGTCCTATAACAATATAAAAAAATTAATTAGTTAATTAATTCCCACCCTGCTTCCAGAAAATTCCCAATGGAACAACAATGGTAATTGTAAAGTTATATATTTTGCTAGAAGATATGAAAAATATCAGAGATTCTAGTTATACCTCGTCAACCGTCACAAAAGTTGATTAGCACCAATAGCCCTTGGCCTTTTACAAAGTGGGGTATTGATTTTAAGGGACCCCTATTAGAAGTATGTCTAACTTTAGGTTCATGATCGTGGCAACAGATTACTTCATCAAGTACGGTAGAAGTAGAAACTCTACTACCGAGGCTAATACTTGTAAGTTCGTTTGAAAAACATCATCAGTCAACTCGAAATCTAGAACTCTATTATATAAGATAATGGCGCCCAGTTCCAAAGAAAAAAGTTCAAAGCCATGTTCGAAGAACTAGGATTCCATAGAATTATTTCACTCCATAATACCCTCAAATTAACGGATAAGTGGAAATAGTAAACAAAACGTTGAAAAGAATTTTGAAGAAAGCTTGATTCCTCAAAGGGACTATGGGCCAATGAGTTACCATAAATTTTGCCGCTATCGTATACTACAATGATTGCCACTAGAGAGATTCCATTCTCATTGGCTTATGGAGTCGAAGCTTTGATACTGATGATAGTGAGCCTAAGTTCTACAAGGAAGTTAAACTTTGATGAAAAACAAAATGATGAAGCCATGAATGAAAACCTGAACTTCCTAGAAGAAAGGCGAGATGCTTCTCAAATGATACTTGTGGTATATCAAAGAAAGATGGGAAGACATTTCAATTCAAAGGTTCACAAGAAAACCTTTAAGAGCCTTTAAGATAGGCGATATAATTTTGAAGAAAATCTTTGTTGCAGACAAAGAAATATGTATATGTTCAAATTGAGAAGGGCTATATACTATAGTCGAAGTGATAAGATTGAAAATATATAAACTTACGGACAAAATGGGTGAACATCTTATACACCCTTGGAATGGCGAACATCTAATTAAATATTATCAATAAATAATGAAACTCTGTTCACTTTTCGTTAAAATTATATACATTTCTCTTAGTGAACTAAGTTGCTGGCCCAAAACAACTTTTAGTTTCGATGGTGTTGCAAATTTTTTAGACTATCCAAGTTAGGTATACGAGCTTTCCAACTTATGCGTAATACATAATGTTGAGCATTCAAGCAAATTGACTATGGATAAGTTGATAGAAAATCCTAAAAATTCTTTTTATTACAAAAATATATTACAAAGTACGAAAATGACTTCACATAAGCCATTTAAAAAATCACATTCTAATTGATAAAAAAAGGATGGTAACTTAGCAAATTTCTATGAAATGCATAACATCTAGTGTTTTTAGAACGATGCGAACACAATATCCCATTTCTTTTGGTGGAAACAAGTTTGATGAAATGGAACGCAATTGTCTGATAGCCTATACGGTGTAGCAGCCAGCAGGAACCAATGCCTCTTCCTCCTTAGTGATTTCTCCCAGATGACATATGTGAAAATGCAAAAACAATGCGAAAGATTGCTATCAGACAAACTATTTTGAGAATCAATTTGAAATATTTTTCCTACGGATCAATAATCCTAAAAATTGTATAACGGAATGGAAAAGGTTTAAACCATTTATACAGCAAATGGTTTCATAGAATTGCTACAGATGCTCACATGGGAGTGGGCTCCACGTGTTTAAAATATTGTCCAAAAAAACCACCCACCTCCATGTTGTGTGTATTCTGTAGAAGTTCTATAAACTCATTTTCTATACGTGTAGACTCTCTCAATGGGAAATATCTCTTGTACTATGTGAGGTAAATCACAATAATGACACTAACAAGGTAATTGTAGTCTTTGAAGATATCTCCTGGCCATTGGATCCCAACAAAATCAACTATGATCGTCTAAAAATAAAATAATCTTAGACATTGAATACGAAAAGGCATACCCGTGCAAACATTTTAGATCATGTGTGGGTACCATGTGCATAGAAAGACATGGACATAAGAAAATGAATTAAAATGCAATACTAAAGAAGTCGTTTCTTCTAATCACGGGTCAACTATCATTAATGCGTAGAATAATGTTGGATGTTGCAGTATTTCTTCCTAACCTCAAGCTTATTATGATGAATCATTAGAACCCATACCATCAAAAAATTCTGGTAAAATTAAAGGAAAATTTCATAAGTTTACGCAGTATATATTTCAAAATTAAGAAACAAGGTTTAAAACTTCGAAAATCTAATATTAATTACATTTTATTTATAAAATAAATATATTAAGATCACAATTCTATACAATTTGATCATAATAATTGAATTAATTGATTACAAATTATTTTTCGGTTACAAATAAAAAACTTATAGGTTACGAATTATTTCTAGATTACAGATCAAAAAATTTATAGGTCACAAATTATTCTTGATCACAATTAAAAAATTTTGTAGATCACAATTTATTTATCAATCATAAAATTACAAACTTCATAAGTCAACTTATTTAACAGTCATATATTATCAAATTAATTGGTCACAACGAATTTCTCGATCACAACTTAATAAATTGTGAGTTACAATCATATCTTTTAGATCACATATTTATTGTTCACAAATTAACTAATTTATTGATCACAATCAACTAATTAATTGGTCACAAACACCCCCACTCCATCCGGCCATCTCCACCCACGACCACCGCACCATAGCCACCACCCTAACCACGACCAACTCACCAAAGCAACTATAAAACCACCACCACAGCACCCACAACACCATCAACCCAAAATGGAGTACATATCAAAGGCATGCTAGGGAAACAAAATGGAGTCGACGACGACAATAAAACATCATTATCTCTAGATAAAATCCTTAAACTAACAAAAATATTTTGAGAATCAATTTTAAAAAAAAAAAATTTTATGGAATTATTCTTCCTAACGATCAATAATCCTAAAAATTTAATTGAATGTAAAAACAATTACTGTACTTTATGAGGTAATTACAATAATGACACTAACATGGTAATAATAATTTTTGAAGATATCTCCTGGCCATTGGATCCCAACAAAATCAATCACGATCGTCTAAAAATAAAATAATCTTAGCCATTGTTACGAAAAGGCATGCCCATGCAAATAGTTCAGATCATGCGTGTGTACCAAGCGCATAGAAATACATGCACATAAGAAAATGAATTAAAATGCAATAATGGAGTCGTTTCTTCTAATCATGTGCCAACTATTGTTATTGTGCAAAATAAATAGTTAAGTTTGAAATTTTGGAAATCCAATTAACATCAATTTTTTTACCGTTATTTTAATATTTCAACCGTCATTTTTGAATTCTTCTCTCAGGAGTAGCACCCACTTTATCTTTAACTGTCAAAAAATCAATTAACAAAATCCCTACCAAACAAGTGAGTAAAATTTTGGGTCCGCTTACTACGATGAATCATTAAAGCCCATACCATCAAAAATCAAGTAAAATAAAATCATTTTAGGTTCAAATAATACATAAATTAAACAATAAAGTCCTAACCCTAATATAAATGATTAAACTCGGACTTCGGAAACTATTTGTTATCAATTAAAATTCACAAAGGATCAATGACAAACCCATTCCTTTGTCAAGCAAACGTTTTCAAAGCCAATCAAATCATATGCGAGCATTTGTAAGGCACGAACATATAATCAACCTCAAGCATACCACAACGAGCAAGTATACTTTAACTGATTTCACCAACTATTTCATATTAGCATAAATCGTTATAAAAAAATCAGGTTGAAAAATAATGTAAACTATGACTTCACAACCAATGAATGAAAAACACGTGGACGGGTGGATAAAACTTGAAAAGCTAACACATTCAGTTAAAAGTTAAATAATCAAAGATTATCACATGTCATTAACGAAGGGACCTAATTACCCCTATGCATTGGAAACCTATAAATAGGTATAGTTGGGAACAAAGAAAGACATATAAATCTATGTATCCTCCTCTCAAATTGACGTTTCTCTTCTTGCTCCTACTTGAGCATAAAATCAGTGATTTTAGAAGGAAAAAAAAATCTTAGGTAAGAGAAATTTGTTGATCCCATTTTTGAGGTCGACAAGAACATTCATTTTTGCTAGTGAAAGTTCTGCAACGGTCATAGAACTCCAAAAATCTCGTCCCAGCTAAGTGACTAGTCGACTTTTGGTGCCTATATGAAGGAAAAACACGTGTGCAGAAAAAGAGGGAGAGATCGATGGATACAACATAGTGACATACTATTACTAAAACCAAAATACTTAGCAAATTACATAGTACCAATTCAAAATCTTTATTTCACTGCAGGCATAACATAACAAAACCGGATGGTTAACCTATTTACTACAGAATTCAACAAAGCTTTTATTTTACTGCAGGCAAAACATAACTAAACTTGATGGAATATTGTTTACCACTGAATTCACTAATACAAGCCACAGCTAACTACCATGTGTCTGTCTACAAGTGTGTATGTTTTCCCTTGTTGTAGCTCCTCCACTTGTTGATCCTTAGCCACTTCAATCCGTAAGGGAAAACTTGAAATTTCTACTCCTAAAACCCCAACCTCGTATTCAGCCAATTGTAGACATCGTCCATCTCATTAGGCACGGTATAATGACTAAGCCTGCAGAATCTGATATAATATTTGTAGTTTCATCCAAATGTATGAGTTAGCTTGATTTAAATGTAAAGACTCAATTACCCGTCATATGGTTTAAACACAAGGTTATGAAATCCAGCTAAGCTCAAGGCGTTGAAGGACTTCTCTCCTTGTGCATGAGGGACCACTTCATCACCTGTCAAAGAAACTAATGAGGTGAGAAACAAAACAGCTCATCGACTATATTAGGCTCCATTTTAATGGAGATTAGGGGAAAAATAAGTTTTGGAATAGAGATTTTGTTGGAGAATGTATGGTCAAAAAGTAAGGAAAAGTTATTGCTTTACGTGTAATATTATTTTATGGGTGAATGCCTGGTTCAAAATGAGTTTCGAAAAAAAGGGTTTTTGAAAAAATGGGGGCTAAACACAGGTTTAGTAACAATTAAGTTTCAGACGAGAGGGATTCTTGGGGTATTATTAAATATGCTAAAAGCTTAAATATTTTAGGAATTTAGGATATATAATAAGAATGTTTTTAACATCTTAAGGAAGTATAAGCATACAGAATCCATGACAGATCAAAATGGGAAGAGATGCGGCACGCCTTGCAGCCTCATGCGATCCTGCTATCCTGTTTCTCACATTGCTGCAATTAATTATAGACTAAAGGTAAGCGAATATCATTTGCCCCCGAATAAGAATATGAAAATTTCACATCTTAGTTTGTATATGCAATGAGCACAAGCAAGATAAGGTATAGTCAAATAATCATTGGATCTTTGATAATTCTTGTTTTGTATTCTATAGTTTTTGTATCATTTGAGACCAATCTATGGAATCTTACCCAGCACCAGGAAGCCACCCGCTTAGATCAACAACAGCCCTTAAGGTAACAGGGTAAGGATTGCCATTTCCATATTTTCCATGAGCAAAGCAAGTTGCAGAATAAAGGGCAATTGCAGCACCCATGCTGAAGCTTTCAATACCGAGCTTAACTGTACCAGACAGCATCCATTGGTAATTAGAATATGCAATCCCAAATATGGAATAAACCAAAAAGTAAGTATGAATTCTGTCAATGATGACTCAGATATTGACCAAACTTGGTGCAAATCTCAAAAAAACAGGAAGACTTTTAGGGATTTGTAAAGATGAACTGACAAATCTTCAAAATTGATGATAAATTGAACTTAAGACACACTAAAAGATCACCTAAAGATACGAACAAGACTCTTAACTTCATACATAGGTCACCGATAAAATTCCGAATGACACTTTTATCCAAAAAGGAGTTAATCTTTGTCGATAAAAGTTCAATTTATTTTTATTCTTTTGAAATAGAACAAACGAGTAATTAGAATTACGCAAAACTAAGAGATGACTCGTTACATTTAAAGATGTAGTCAACTAACTGTTTACAGTGAACTATCCACGATGAAGCAAGAGTAATAATCTTACCATCAGAAGGCTCTGTAGATAATAAGTTTGCAATATGTGCTGCTGAAGCATCTAAACCTTATAAATCATCGGAACCATTTTCAGAAAGCTCTCCCACATCAAACCCTAATATAAAAACCACGAAAAGAGACGTGTGACTTCAACTAATAGATCATTGAAATCACCATATTTGAATTTTCTGCTTTTTGCTTACATGCATTGCAAGGAATTCTACCAAGCATCGTTACTGGGCGACTAGGAGCAGTAGGGCATATCCATTTTACCTGCACGACAAAAGTTAAGCACAACATTTCAGTACAGTAAGTCTAGTCATGCAACTAAAGAAGAAAAAAGTAAATTATACTAATTAAAAGTAGGATAGATAACTTACATTTGGAAGGGGAAGACTTTCCAAAAGTTGCGAGCAGCTGTGAAAAGAAGTACAGAAAACAAAGAGCAGAAAATTTTCATTTTAACTTTCTGCTTTCTACATTATAAAATGACTGCTATATACTATCATAAAGGATGAGCGCTTTGCGTAACTATAGACACTTGGAATTTTGATTATAAGGAGATATAGACCAAGTTTGTAAATATTTCCATAAAAAGTACCATATGAAAAGGCTCAAAGTACCAAGGGAAGGAATCAACAAAAAACTTGAATTCGGAACTGTTCTTGGCAGCCTTCAAAATTAAGTGAACAAGTGATTTCAATGAAACATACGGTTTGCAGTGCATACATGTTTTATTCAAGATTTATAATATTAATTACATTTAGGCCTGTTTGAGCCGCATTCTTTGAAAGAAATACATTCTTAAATAGTGATTTGACATTATTTCAACCACACATTTTTCAATAAAATAATATTACACTCAAATTCAAAAAAAATTCTTATTTTTTAACCACACATTCTCTATCAATCTACTATTCCAAAATATATTCTTTCAAAATAATGTGGCTCGCACACTTAGACTTGATAGAGGCCGAGATAAAAAAATATATATATAGTCTTGATAAAAGGGCAAGTGGGTAAGCAAGACTTATTTTAGCCATTGACATTCTTTCAAGAGGAACTTTCCCATTTCTTTTGTGACAAAAGGTCCACTTGCTTACTGACACTTTATTATCAGGCATATACTAATCACCAGGAATAATTAACAGTCAAGTTGAATATAGAAATCAACATATCTTGATCCCCATATTAATAGTTTAAGCTTTTTTTCACAATCACCCACCATTGATACTCAAATTGAGAAAATCAATACTCATAATTCATAATCACAAAACGCCAAAATTTAGAATAGTTCTACTAATACTGATTATTTAGAATGTGTGTCCTGTGGGTGAACTTGTCTGGATTCGTTCTCTGAATTACTTCCTATGATAGACTGTCACGAGAAAGTAAAATGGGATATCCAATTTGCAATAACGTGATATTCAATTACATAGAGAATATCAGCAACAAAGTGGAACATGCAATCATCTAGGCTTGTCTTGAATAATTAGAAAACAATAATCACATCGTGCTTTTTATTTTCTTCTTCCGCCCTCAAGATGTTGGATTCTAAAGTCTATAAGTAACAGCAATATGGGGAAAAATGATTTATCAGCATTTTATACGAAATCAAATCCAATATCACGTAATATTGGGTTCTAAAGGCACTAAAACAACATAATAGTAATAGTAATAGTAATAGTAATAATAATAATAATAATAATAATAATAATAATAATAATAATAATGGCCTTCGAACTTAGTCTAAAAATGAGAGCCAATTCACGAAATCAATCAAAAACAGCTGCTGTGCCTTGATGAATTAGCACTGAAAATGGTGACCCATTGGAGATCAAACTAAGAAAGAAACAAATATTCAAACTTTAGAAGAATTTAGTGACTGAAAATCACGTAATAGCAGATGGGTAAAAAACGCATACCTTCACGACAAGACTGTAAATCACTCGTCATTCATCTCTTCTAGCCTTTGATTGACAGCGAAGAAATTGTGTTGTTAACATCATAGTTATTACAATCGACTTGGCTATTCAGCAAGGTAATGTCACTCGCTGAAGGAGAGGATCCTAACCTTTTGTATTAAATTAAAATAATAATAAAGAAAACAAAAGGAAAAAGGATTCTCCTTCTCCCACCGGCCATCCCAACACAAAATCTCCATTGGCCGCCATTGAGACCTCCTTTACAAAATCTCAGCCTAGCCACATCTTGAAACACCCACCCACCAATTTTCGGTCATCGCCTAACTTGCATTTTAACATAACTCTCCTGGTGGGTGCCACCATCACATCCTTCCCACACTTCCTCCCTCAACCTACAGCTGTACCTTCGAAACTGAGAATTGGTTAATGGATAGAGAATTTTCATCCAAAGTTCTTTGTTAATCACTTCAATAGCCAAAACTAGATTAACGGGAAATAATTTGAAATCCAAGTATATACATACAGTACAATGTATATAGTGGCGACAGAGAGGGACGGGAAGAGCTGAGTTGGGGGCGGAAGGAGGACCGGAGAATTAATTGCCCAATGGTCACTGAACCTAGGTCATGTCTTTTATTGATCACTTAAGTTTAAATTATTACGCTTTGATTACTAAACTTAAATCCATATTTTCAACTGTTCAATGAAATTTAAAATTTCGAGTTTTAGCTACTAAACCTTGAAAAATATTGTACGTTACTCACTAATATTAATATTGATCTCTGAAAAATGTCAAGTTTATTAGGAGTAATGTACAACATTTTTCAAAGTTCAGAGATCATAAACTTGATATTTTAAATTTCATTGACCAATCAAAGATATGGATTTGAGTCCAATAACCATTGAAAAATTAACTCGGCGACTAGGGGTGTGGATTGTAAATTTTGAATCTTTGGTGTCTTAGGGCCTATTTGCAATTTCCTTTGAGGGAATAGTTTTATAGATATCACGAAATTTCAAAATACATCAAAAGTAGTTAATTTTACAAATGACATTCAAAAATGTCACTTTTTGAGTATGAAATGTTTAAATCATTCTTAAATATATCTTTTTGGGATTCATGCTTTGTATTAAATGCTATTTTGAGTTGTATATTAAAAATTATTGGATATATGTATATTGTACAGAGAGAGAGAGAGAGAGAGAGAGAGACAACAACAGATTCATATGAATGTATAAATTGATTTTCATGCTCAAAAAGTTTCAACTTTCTTCACATATTCTCTATTCCAACAAGAAGAAGAAATTATTAGTAGATTCATTTTGCATTTTGAGAAGTTGATATTTACAAATTGTTTATATTTTTATCTTATAATTTATTATTTTTGAATTACTAAATACAACATGGTCATATGTATTTGAAATGTTCTAAATTATTATTCGTTAATTCGATTTGGCTCTTAAAATAATTTTGAATAAAGATATCAATACTTAATATTGTGAAGAATGTCTTCCAAACACACCCATTAAATGTTTTTCGTCAATTTTGACAAGCTGTCGAAACAAATTGTCAAATTCAATATTTTCAAAATGTCGGGATAAACATTTTAATTGTCGATTTGACCCATTTGCTATTGTTTAGATTTAAATATTCGAAGGTGCCACTTTCATGCTATTAATTATGCATAATGTTTATCATTGCAATCTTAACTTTTCATATTGATTTTCCATGGTAAATATAAAAGCAAAAGACATTATTGACAACCCTACAAAATCAACGATTGAAGTTCAAGAAACAAATTTAATAGCTTCAATGTATGAATTTGAGCAATGTTCCATTTACATATTCAACATCAACATCTAAATATTTGAGTCATTAAGAAGCTACAAATTTTGGCATGCAAACTAATAGTTGTGACAATGGGCTGAGCCGATCCTTAACCTCACGAGCTCGGCTCACGCTCGTGTCTCGTTTTCAACTGATTTTGGGTGAGCTCTGCTCTGCCCACGAGCTCGTGGGCTGAGCCGAGCTTTGGCTCACAAGCTCGTTATCTTTTTCGTTTTTTATTTATTTTTAAAATAGAGAAAAACACAAATAATGTAATGAAAACACTTTTTAAAAAAAAATTAGAAGTGTTGAAAAAATACAAATAATTGAAAAAAGACTTTTTTTTCTTTTTTTTTTATATCATATTGTAATATTTTTTTATAAAGTATAAAATATTTATATAATGAAGACGAATTGTTTTTTAAAATACATTTAAAAAATATATATTTTTTATTTATTTTTAAAGTAGATAAAATGTAAACCCTCATCCTTTTATCCGGGCTTAGGGCCGGCTACATCAATTTCAAGTAGGCGGAATTAAAAATTGTACACGAACAAATTGTACAATTTTTTAAAGAAAAATTAAATTTAACGATTAAAAAATAAGGAAATTTTGATTAATATAATTAAATCAAATATTACTTACCTGACGACATGCAATTTCAGTATATTTATCTTTTAGTCGAAAATAAGCGTCCTGCCAATCCTTCACGCACATTAACGCTTCCAAAACATCTTCTTTCAGTTGGCTTCTGACATCGATCAAAATCCCTTTATCTGCACTAAAAGCAGACTCCGAAGCAACAGTGCTAACCGGAGGTGTCAGCAGATCTTTCGCGATTGTAGAAACAATTGGCCAACGTCTTTCATACTTTCGCCAGAATTCAATTACTTCTTCTGAACTTTTTTTAATTGTTTTGTTTGTTGACATATTATAATTGAAGTAATCAATTAATTCAGCAGGCATCGCATTTTGAGTTGCAATCGATATTCGATGAGATACAAATGTAGAAGACATGACACTAGATGAACACATTGTAGTTGTATAATATCTAAATGTATCAATGCCTTGAAATAAATTCATTATTTCAGCATCATCTTCTTCAATTTCAGCTGAAAGAGTAGGTACAGAGGGTCCCTGACTAACATTCGCACGTTGGCATATAAATCATACATTCCACACAATATTTGCTCTAAATTCTTATAGGTGATAGGTATATCAAGTGTTAAGACTTTATTGATTTGATCAATTACGTATTTAGTTTCCAAAATATTATATCAGGAGTCCATTGCGCATACTAAATGAAATAACGTGGGCAGTTCTTCCCAATATTTTCTAAACTTGAATTCCATAGCAATTATAATTTCACTAAAAGTATGATCATTTTTATATTTATGGAATATTTTTGCAATTATATAAAAGCGTTCAAGCACCATATAACTTGTGGGATAATAAACGCCGAATAAAACCTTTGTGATCTCATAAAAAAATGTCAAAAATCGTTTAGCTTTCAAAGTTAAAACCCAATCGGATTCATTCAACATACCATCATCATCACTTCTAACGTGTCTATTGTTATAAAAATCAGTTATTAAATGTTCGAAACCTTCACATGACTTTAATAGCAAGTAAGTAAAGTTCCATCTATGGCCTACGTAGCTAACAAATGTTTTGCAATCGTCACGCCTAGTTTAACACAAAAATCTTCAAATGCTTGTTTTCTACTATGAGAGATCGTAATATATACTAATGCATTTATAATCCTTTGAAATTCATTCTTTATATGTTTTAAGCTATCTTGCACAATTAAATTCAAAATATGAAACACACAACAAATATAAAACAAATACCCATCAAAATCAGGTTGAAGTATCCTACACAATTTATTGACGACTACTTTATTAACACTAGCATTATCAAAAGTAAAAGATTGAATTTTAGTCTCGCAATTATATTCTCTAACAATACCGATAATAGCATTATATATATTATTAGCATTGTGAGAAAAAATTCAATAATTTTAAAAGCAATAATTTTTTTATGCATGCACCAAAGTGGGTCCATATAGTGTGTGGTTGCAACTATATATGCTTTTTTATTAACCCCTTCCCATATATCAGAAGTTAAATATATAACACCCCCATATTGTTAGTAATCCATAATTAATTGTTGTTTTGAATTATTGAAATATTATATTATATCGACACGAAGAGTGTTTCGACTTATCCCAACGTACCTTGGTTGCAGATATTCTTTCACGAGCGAGACAAAGTGTTGATTGTTTGCAATAGCCGAAGGCAACTCAGTTGGAGCAACAAATTTCACCATTCCAGTTCGAGTATTGTCCTCTAAATACACCCACGTAGATAGGGGTGAAGTCGTAGAACTGGCGCTTGGACTGCTAAATTGCAATTGTATTTGACCAGCTGGAAGAAGTCCATGTTTGGCCGCACATGCTTTGTAGTGGCGGTTGAGTGAGTAGTACCAATTTCTTTTTACCATGCCAATCTTTGTTGGCAGTATTTACGTAGTGCTTTAGATTCTGCAAGGTCATCGACGACTTTTTTTGTTAAAATCAACTGAAAGTGATCTCAACATTTTGCTTGTTTTTTGCCCTATCGCTTTCCCCTCACATCTGGGATGTTTAATCCAACATCTTCGTCCTCATCTTCCGCTTCAGGAACGTTAATATTATCCAAATCAATTGGATTGTGACTTCCCTGACCGTGAATGTGAACATCTTCAGGTATGGATACGTCATTTAAATCAACAAATTCATTTGAAAATTGACTTTGCAGCGTCCTAAGCGATTCGCGATGTGGCCCACATCCCGTATCGAATAAGCTCTCAACAAATGAGCTTTCATCCATTTATTTGATTGTTTATGATGAAATCATAATATAATAACTAGAAAAAGATAAATGTAGTTAGATTGTGAGAATTGAGAATTAGATGAATTGAAATTGTAACTGAATAAACCGTAAAAAATGAATCGATATTGTATATTTTGCAGCACAAGAAAGTAAAAACTCGATAATTAATATAATAAAAGAGAGTTGAGAAATGAGATGTAGTGATTGAGAGGAGATAATTAATATGAAAAAAAAAATAGTTAAGGGGTATTTATAGTAGAAGGGGAAAAAATTAAAAAAAATAAAATTTCAATGACCGTTTCAATCACTGAAAAAGTGATCGTTTTGGTCACTATACTTTGCGAGCCACGAGCCGCTCGTGGGCGGCTTGTCTTCACTCGGCTCGCCTTTCGGTGAAACCCGCTCGGCTCGTGCTCAAACTCGTGAATCTCCAATAATAGGGTCCCCAACTTGGACATGCAACAAAATTCAAGTATTTTACATTAACATAGAATGATGGCGAAAAATAAAATCACTTCATACTCATGAATAATAAATTTAACGCCCCAATTTTTCTTTCCTTTACATTAAACGTTACGAAAACTCATTTTTCTTTAATTTAAAAATGCGGAACTATATAAAATTCTTCAATAAACAAATAATTGTAACGTTTAAATTAAAATTATTAAAAGCGTATCTAACCATAAACATAAACTCCTAAGTAATTCAAATAATGCGTTCTAAATTAAAATAAACAAATTGCTAAATTTAAAATGGCAAACTTATTTCTTTTTCTCTATTCTTTATCCACTTGGCAGTCCGCATCACCAATTCTCCACTGTTCCAATCGACCCGAACTAATCTGTAAAATTAATGTAAGAGTGAGTTTTAA